TTTTATTCCCTAGTGATCTACTCAGTTTATCATAAATTTTAGCTGAAGTTTTTGACCTTAGAGCAGGCGTCCTAAACGGGCCACATGCGGCCCCCGGGGACATTTATCCGGCTGCCGCTGCCTGTCCTACTTAGCAACCTAGCAATCAACTCGTCCTGGGTCCTGGGGCCCACAGTCCAGCCCTCCAACAGTCTGAGGGTCAGTGAACTGGCCCCCTGTTTAAAAAGTTTGAGGACCCCTGTCTTAGAGACAAACAGGAAGGCATTGGAGATATTGCAAGTTTAGTTTAGTTCTAGACCACTGCAGTAAAGTGAATACGACAATAAAGCAAAGTCACACAAATATTTTTAGTTTCCTAGTGCATACAAAATTTATATGGACTCTTCCCTTCACAAAAGGTTTCACTATAATACGCAATGCTGCTTAATAGCATTTTAGAACTTCTTTCAAAATTAAAGTCAATCTCCCACATTCTGCCATTGCTTTATCAACTAAGTTTATGGAATATATTCTCTGTTTCATTTTTTTTATTGTTGGGAGATTCACTGAGGGTATAAGAAACCAGGTTACGCTGATTGCATTTGTTACGTAAAGTCCCTCTTTTAATTGTGTCTTGCCCCCAAAAGGAGTATCACACACCGTGACCCCCCCCTTCCCTCTCTCTGCTCTTTCTTTCTCCCACTCCACTCCCTCCTTCTCTCTCTGCTCTTCCCTTTCCCCACCCCCCACCATGTGTTAGGTCATTAATTGTCCTCATATCAAAATTGAGTACACAGGATTCATGCTTATCCATTCTTGTGGTGCTTTACTAAGAATAATGTGTTCCACTTCCACCCAGGTTAATACAAAGGATGTAAAGTCTCCATCTTTTTTAATGCCTGAATAGTATTCCATGGTATACACATACCACAGCTTGTTAATCCATTCCTGGGTCAGTGGGCATTTAGGCTGTTTCCACATTTTGACGATTATAAATTGAGCTGCGACAAACAATCTAGTGCAAGTCTCTGTTGTCATTTTAATAATGTTCACAGCATCTTCAACAGTAGATTCCATCTCAAGAAACCACTCTTTTCTCAATCCATTAAATTTCATCCATTAACAATTTCAATCCATTAACAATCTCTCATCCACTAAAGTTTGACCCTGAGAGTGCAACAATTCAGTCATCTTCAGACTCTACTTCTAATTCTCTTGCTATTTCCACAGCAACTATGTTGACTTCCTCCACTCAAGTCTTAAAGCCCACAAAGTCGTTCATGTAGGATGGAACTGACTTCTTCCAGATTCCTGTTAATGTTGATAATCAGACCTCCTCCCATGTTATGTATATCACAAATGTTCTTGATTACATTTGTCAACATTCGGTGACACCTAGAATGGTAAATTTGTCAACATTTGGTGACACCTAGATTGAAAAGGTTTTCAATTTACTCTGCCTAGATCCATCAGAGGAATCAGATCATTATCTGTCTATGTCAGCTATAGCGTTACAATATGTATTTATTCTTTTCCTCCTTATTCTTTTTTATTAGCCTGCCACCCTGGCTAGAATGCAGTGGTATGATCATAGCTCACTGTTACCTAAAACTCCTGGGTTCAGGTGATCCTCCTGTCTTAGCCTCCCATGTTGCTGAGACTACCACATCCAGCTAATTTTTCTAGTCTTTCATAGAGAAATGGTCTTGCTCTTGCTCAGGCTCGTCTCAAACTCCTGGTTGCAAGCAATCCTCCTACCTCACCCTTCCAAAGTGCTAGGACTACATACAAGCACAAGCCACCATACCCAACTAAAATGTATTTAAATAAAAAGGCTTAGAAATTGAAATTGCTTCTTGATCCATGGGCTACAGAATGGATGTGTTAACAGGTATGAAAGCAACATTAATCTCTTCTACATCTCCCTTAGAGCTCCTAGGTGATCAATCAGGTGCACTGTCAATGAACAGTAATATTTTTTTTTTTTGGAGATAAAGTTTCACTATGTCACCCTCAGTAGAATGCCGCAGCATCACAGCTCACAGCAACCTCAAACTCTTGTGCTTAAGTGATTCTCTTGCCTTAGCCTCCCAAGTAGGTGTGATTACAGGTGTCTGCCACAATGGCCAGCTTTTTTTTTTTTTTACTTTTTATTCTTTTGTTGTTGCAGTTTGGCCAGGGCTGGGTTCAAACTCACCACCCTCGGTATATGTGGCTGACACCCCACTCACTGAGCCACCGGCACCAACCTCAGCTAACTTTTGTTCCAGTTGTCACTGGTGTTTTAGCTGGCCCAAGCTGGTTTTGAACCTGCCAGCCCCGGTGTATGTGACTGGTGCCCTACCTACTGAGCTACAGGAGCCGCCTGAACAGTAATATTTTGAAAAGAATCTTTTTTTCCTGAGCAGTAGGTTTTAAAAGACTAAAAATATTCAGTAAACCATGTCATAAACAGATGTGCTGTCATCCAGGCTTTGTTGTTCCATTTTTAGAGTGCAGGAAGAGTAGATTTAGCATAACGCTTAAGAGCTTTAGGATTTGGGGAATGGTAAATGAGCTCTGGCTTTAAGTTACCAGCTACATGAGCCCCTAACAAAAGGGTTAGCCTGCCCTTTAAAGCTTTGACACCAGACATAGACTTCTTTCCATCTAGGAATGTCCTGGATGGCATCTTCTTCAAATATAAGGCTGACTTGCCTACAGAGAATAGTTTAGTGTAGTCATCTTCTGAATAACTTGCTGTAGCTTTTACATCAGCACTTGCTGCTTCACCTTGCACATTCATGCTATAGAGATGGCTTCCTTCCATAAACCTCATGAACCCAACCTCTGTCAGCTTCTACCTTTTCTTTTCTTTTTTTGAGACAGAGTCTCACTGTGTCACCCTCTGAAGAATGTCATGGCGTCATATCTCACCGCAACTTCAAACTCTTGGGGTCAAGCGATCCTCTTGCTTCAGCCTCCCAAGTAGCTGGGACTACAGGTGCCCACCACAACACCTGGCTGTTTTTTGGTTGTAGCTTGTCATTGTTGTTTGGCGGGCCCGGGCTGGGTTCAAACCTGCCAGGTCCGGTGTACATAGCTGGCTCCCTAGCCACTGAGCTACAGACACCTAGCCAGCTTCTAGTTTTTCTTCTGCTAGCTTCTTTACCTGTTAGTCTTCACAGAATTGAAAAGAGTTATCTTGCTCTGGATTAGGCTTCGGTTTAAGGGAGTATTTTGGCTGTTCTAATATTCTATCCAGACCCCTCAAACCTTTTCCACATCAGCAATACGGTTGTGCCTTCTTATCATTTGTGTTCAGAGGAATAGCACTTTTTATTTCCTGTAAGAACTTGCCTTTTGCATTAAAACTTGGCTGTTTTGCACAAGAGGCCTATTTTTCAGACAATCTCAGCTTTCGACATGCCTTCCTAAACTTAATCATGTTTAGCTTTTTATTTAAAGTGAGAGATATGAGACTCTTCCTTTTTCACTCAAACATTTAAGAGAACAGTAAGGGGTATGCCTATATGTATTGTATGCTATAGACATCCAACCTTTGGTTCCTTTCCAAAATTACGAAAATGTTGTATCAATGAATTAATATAAAACAACAGTGTTAGGTTAAACAAAAATATAAAAACTGTCATATGGTGAGAGACCACAGGTACTAACACACTGTAGTTAAGTTTCTCTACTGTGTGTGCCACTAATTTTGTCAGATAAGCTCACCACTGCTCCCAAAAGGAGGATTATAGAACTCACATTATACTCTGACAAAGTGATTCCATTGAGTGAATTGGGGAGAACAGTTTAACTTTGTTTGCATCATGATTAAACAAACTCACTTGCACAAAGAAAGAATTGTTTTCAAACATTTATCAAGAAAGGAACAGCTTATGTGAGTAAGAGCTTTTAATCAATTCACAATTTCTCTACCATCACCAATTCAGAGTAAGAAAAGCAAAGAACCGCCAAGCAAAGAACACAGTACAATAAACATTTATCATTTTTCTCAAACTCTTCAACATATATCTTTACATATTATTTTTGCAGTAACTTATTTTGAGCATTCTGAAGAATCTTAATAATAATTTCAGAAAGTCATTTTTTGAGCTCAGGGTCAAAAAAATCAGTATAAAACTCATTCTCTAGAAGAAAATATGACTTGCCTTATATATAAATAATTAGACTTAAAATTTAAGAAATGCGGAAGAAAAATTTATACAATGCTTACAGTATTTTACAAAATCTTTCTGGAAATCCTTTCTGGTATTGACAAAAGCACGTCCTCTTTCAGTTCCGACAACAAATACATCCGTTTCATACACTGCGATGCAAGCCACTTCTGCCTTAGACTTGGCCAGTTCTTTACACTACAATACAAATAACAAACATTATGTTATATACATATTAAAGAGTACCGTGTCTGCTGAATGGATAAAAATATGTAACACTTAAAACTATCCTAACATATGATCTGGAATCAAGTGAAATTCCTATATATATCCTTAAATATCATACACAGAAGAGAGTCTCCCATTATTTAAGGTGCCTCTCTTTCTAAACAGTTTTTTTGCCTGGTTTTAAACAAAAGACGACATAGAATTTATGAGTAAAAAAGCATAATCGTAATGTAACTGTATTTCACACCTATAATCCTCACACTCTGGGAGGCCAAGGCAGGCAGATCACTTGAGTTCAGGGGTTCAAGACAAGCCTGAGCAAGAGTGAGACCTCATCACAAGTAAACATTGAAAAACTAGCTGGGGACCAGGCAAGGTGGCTCATGCCTATAATCCTAGCACTCTGGGAGGCCAAGGCAGGTAGATCACAGGTTGAGACCAGCCTGAGCTCATAGGTTAAAGACCAGACTGAGCCAGAGTGATATCTCATCTCTAAAAATAGCCAGGCATTGTGGTGGGCACCTTTAGTCCCAGCTACCTAGGAGGCTGAGGCAAGAGAAGAGGATCACCTGAGCCTAAGAGTTTGAGGTTGCTGTAAGCTATGACGCCACAGCACTCTACTGAGGGCAACAAAGTGAGAATCTGTCTCAAAAAAAAAAAGAAGAAAAGAAAAACTAGTCCAGCATTGTGGCAGGTACCTATAGTCCCAGCTACTTGGGAGGTTGAGACAAGTAGATCACTTGAGCCCAAGAATTGGAGGTTGCTGTGAGCTATGACACAGCATTCAACCCCAGGACAATTCAGCAAGACTCTGTCTCAAAAAGAAAGAAAAGAAAAAAAAAGAAACAGATGCAGATTAAATGCAGGCTGCTTGCTAGGGAGTACTCTTATTCTCAACACCACCTGTGAGGCAGGACTGGGCAGAGGCAGAGGTGACCATTGACGCAGGTCCACTCTAGAGGAGCTTAGGAGCTCCTGTGACCCTCCCCAAGGTGGTTCTAACACTCCCACTCCCAGCAGCTGAGGGAATTGGTGCCGTCACTCCTGAAAAAAGGGTGAGAGAGTGTCTGCAACCCATACTTTAATATCCACTACACAATTCCACCTCCAGAAGTAGTTCCCTATGAATATACAACTGGAATCACATTTAGGTGCGTATACTACTTATTGACTTTATCTATGAGATCGAATATTCCTTAAAAACTATATGGGGTATACAAAATATTCTGTTATACGATACTATAATTCATTTAGTGTTCACATTATTGAAATGGTTGATTACAATTTTCCTTTCTAAAAATTATACTATATGAATAACCTGGGAACAAAATGTTTACTGAATGACTTTATTTATTTACTTATTTATTTAGACAGAGTTTCACTCTGTTATCCTGGGTAGAGTGCCATGGAATCATAGCTCATAACAACCTCAAACTCTTGGGCTGGAGTGATCGTGCCTTAGTCTCCTGAGTAGCTAGGACTATGGGTACACGACACCATGATGCCCAGCTAATTTTTCTACTTTTAATACAGGCAGAGTCTTGCTCTTGCTAAGGCTGGTCTAGAACTCCTGAGCTCAAGCAATTCCCTTGCCTCAGCCTCACAGAGTGCTAGGATTATAGGCATGAGCCACTGTGCCCAGCTTGAATAAATTTCTCAAAAGAGAGTCAGAGATATTAAAGAGGATTCTCAAAGCTTAATGAAGATTTGTTTCTAAGAAGATTCATAATATCCTGGCAAATGTTACCTTTAAAAAGGGCATCTT